AAATAGCTCTGCTGAACAGGAATTATCGGCCACAATGATTTTTTTTTTTTAAGCAAGAAAAATATGGAAAAAAGTAACTTGAGAGAAATTCTATTTAAGTATGATTGGAGACTATTAATTAGCTTATATGGAAGAAATTAATTCAAGAAAACAAATACCGTTATACACTCTTAATTAATGTAATACCCTTTTTAATTCACCTGATGAGTAAAGTGTTTTCCATTGCTGAGAACATCAGTAACATAAAAACAGAAAACACTACTTAAATACAAACTGGCATCTCTCTAGAAAATTACTTGCTTGGTAAAATATTCATTGCCTGGTAATACTAGTCCGGCAACGAAAGAACAATGAGGATTTCAACTATTTGAGAAAAGACAGATTGACCTATCTTGCTCAACTTCCACATCTCTCTCCCCCCCGGCTCCCCAAAACAGGCAGGACCCTAGCTGAGGAGCCAGGGTTTCTCTCGTGACAACTACTGAGGAAAAGACGAGTCCGCCAGAGCCTGCTTTTTCAGAACAGCTGGGACGCCACTGTCCCAATCCGCTGCAGCAGGAACCAAGGCCAGCTGAAGTACTCAACGTCTTGGCATCCCTGTTGTCCTGACTGGCAAATACAGTCCCTGCCTGGTTTAGATCCTTAAGAACATCCTCTGGTAGCAGCACAACCTTCTACAATCACTTTGGACGCCCGCCAACATTTACTTTAGTACACTCGCATGCAGCTTACACAAAACAGAAACCAGGAAGCATGAAATGAAACAGGTGCATTTCAGGAAGGAATTGCCCCAACCCCCCTCCCCTTTGTTATTTTGACCTTTCGGACACCCGCTGAGAGCCAGCTTTGTTGATTTTATGGCACTGTATCTTGTGCTACGATCCTGTTCAAATACAAAACCTCTCGTGAAAAGTGCAGTTAAGAAACGCAAACATTTCGCCCCCCTTCCCTTTGCAGACAAGGGAGCATTCATAAATAATCACCTTGTCAGAGTTTGATATTTTATAACCGAGTGGGAGACCACATCTTCCACAGTAACGACAAATCATTACGCTTTTTACCGCTATCCCTGGTCTTATACGGCTCGTTGAATCATCTGTTAAGTTTTACCAGGAAATAACATCAGCGCCAGCAGCTACGCGTTGACCGGGACCCAATTAAGAGGACCCGAACCACCTAACTCCGCGACGAAAGCTCTCAATTTCAAGAGGACAAACTTCGATGAAGCGCGGGGAGTGCTAAGGACAGGCAGAGAAAGCCCCGTGGGTTTTAAGAGGAAAGCTGCCGCCGCTGCCCACAAACCCCCTGCAAGCCAGGGCGGGCGGGCAGCACCGCCCCA